GTCCTGGAGACGCAACAGGAAGTTAAAAGAAGTCCCTGTGTTTGCCTGATGAAAGGACTTTCCTTATGGTCACATTACTTGTGAGATTCTGAACATGTAACGTCATTAAGGACACTCTTCACGGAGATGTTTTGGTGTGCCGGTAACTTACTTGCCAGATATGTACATGAGCGGCGCCATCTGCTGTCACTGCAGCACCCGTTTTCAGAGATATAAGGGACTTATCGGTCAGGAGTGCAATGGGATACATATAAAGGAAGTCAGAAGACGTCTCCAGAACAGGCAGGGCCGCCATCAGGGGGTGTACTGGGGGACGCCCGGGACTAGGATTGCCACCATTTTTTCAAGCAAAACCCGAACACTCTAGTGACGAGCTGACATTTTTTTTGGGAGAATGAGTCGTGGCTTATTCATATGTATATTGTGCCACCCATTCATATGCAAGTATCACAGTTAAGACTACTTTCAGTGGGGGGCCAGTAGCCACTATCTTAATTCTGGTTGCCCCTGTCTGCCTGACATCTTGTGTCCAGGTTTCTGCTGCCATGAAACCCGGACACAGCATTCAAAACCTGGACTGTCCGGGTGAATCCTGGACAGGTGGCAACCCTACCCGGGACCCTTACATGAGCATCGGCCGGCTGTGAAAGGCGAGGAGGTGGCTGGGCCCTAGCAGCGCAGGGCCCCAGCATTGCCGATCCAGCGGCTTCGAGGCAGGCTGGGGCCCCATCAGCGATGCTGCTCCTCTGATGTCGGACCGGCCGGAAGTGACATCATGTCATGTCACTTTCGGCCAGTCCGGCGGCAGAGGAGGCCAGGCCAGCCCTGACCAGCCCACCTGAGACCCCTTCAGAGCCCACCATAGAGAGTCTCAGACTGTGCAGCATCTTTGGTGAGCTCTGCAGGGTCACGTTGCGGGGGGACTAATGCCGTGTAAGGGGCGCCAACATTTTTGATGGCTGCTCTGAGAACAGGTGACCCCATTGGATGATTCCTATTCCGGTGACAATTGTAACACTTTTAAGCAAGAGTTCCTCTCGAAGGATCAGGTGTCCCCATTGGATGATTCCTATTCTGCTGAAAAATTGAAGTTTTTGAGTGAGGTGAATTCCTCCCACCAGAACAGGTGTCCCCATTGGAAGATCTGCCCTCAACTTGAGTTCTTGTGACAGCTGTAAGATTTTGGATTTGCCATCACTTGGCAAAGGTCACCAGGTGGTGAACCCACCTAGCGGACACACAGGCAGCAATGAAAAAAAAAAGACAGGGGTGCTAATCCTTTCTTACTACTCCAATACAAAATATAAAGTTTTTCGTATTGTCAGGACAGGAAAAGACTACTTTCAGTGGGGGGCCAGTAGCCACTATCTTAATTCTGGTTGCCCCTGTCTGCCTGACATCTTGTGTCCAGGTTTCTGCTGCCATGAAACCCGGACACAGCATTCAAAACCTGGACTGTCCGGGTGACTCCTGGACAGGTGGCAACCCTACCCGGGACCCTTACATGAGCATCGGCCGGCTGTGAAAGGCGAGGAGGTGGCTGGGCCCTAGCAGCGCAGGGCCCCAGCATTGCCGATCCAGCGGCTTCGAGGCAGGCTGGGGCCCCATCAGCGATGCTGCTCCTCTGATGTCGGACCGGCCGGAAGTGACATCATGTCATGTCACTTTCGGCCAGTCCGGCGGCAGAGGAGGCCAGGCCAGCCCTGACCAGCCCACCTGAGACCCCTTCAGAGCCCACCATAGAGAGTCTCAGACTGTGCAGCATCTTTGGTGAGCTCTGCAGGGTCACGTTGCGGGGGGACTAATGCCGTGTAAGGGGCGCCAACATTTTTGATGGCTGCTCTGAGAACAGGTGACCCCATTGGATGATTCCTATTCCGGTGACAATTGTAACACTTTTAAGCAAGAGTTCCTCTCGAAGGATCAGGTGTCCCCATTGGATGATTCCTATTCTGCTGAAAAATTGAAGTTTTTGAGTGAGGTGAATTCCTCCCACCAGAACAGGTGTCCCCATTGGAAGATCTGCCCTCAACTTGAGTTCTTGTGACAGCTGTAAGATTTTGGATTTGCCATCACTTGGCAAAGGTCACCAGGTGGTGAACCCACCTAGCGGACACACAGGCAGCAATGAAAAAAAAAAGACAGGGGTGCTAATCCTTTCTTACTACTCCAATACAAAATATAAAGTTTTTCGTATTGTCAGGACAGGAAGTGATGGTAAATCTATCCAAGGGGGACACAGACAATAACAAATATTTAGTAGACTGGGAAGTTCTGACAATGACTGTCCATGCTTTCCTGTCCCAGACAGGTGTTATAGGAACAGGAAGTGAGTGAAAAGCTCCCTAATGAGGTCACGGACCCAAAATAAAGACCTAACAGAAATGTTGTTTATTATTATTATTAATTTTATTATTATTATTATACGGGATTTATATAGCGCCAACAGTTTGCACAGCGCTTTACAATATATAAGGAAGACATTACAATCACAATACAATTTAAGACAAGAGGGTAAGGAGGTTCCTGCCCGTGAGGGCTTACAATCTAAAAGGGAGGGGCCAGTGATACATGAGGAGGTAGCTGTGTGGGGATGAATTGTTTGAGAACGATTATCCGATAAGAATTGAGAATGATTAACGATATCCAAAAATAGAGAAATATTATACATTTCTTTTAAAGTTTTTTGTTTTCTTTCTGAAGCTATGACATTTTAAATGCTGATAGACGGATCAGGGGAAATCTCGCGTTGGTATTAGAATTGCCAGTACATTGCTGGGAGCCATATTTGCACACTGTGTGCCCGTGTTGGGGGTTTGGCAATGCAACCTTTACATATCTGCTAATAGTACCAACAATGTCAGCTGTCAGCGCTTATAGGACATTTGCTAATGAAAGACATGTTCACTAGAAGAAGCTGAGATCCACTATTGACTGCCAGAGGCATTCCGTAATACCGGCACTCACAAAGTCTATTGACTAAATACAAGAGTCACGTGTATTCTTTCCTTCAGTCTTGGTGAGCTTTGTGTATTTCTTCCAGATCTGTGCAGTAATCCAGTGTGACACTTGGAGCTTCCTGTAATAAAGACCAGTCACTGCTGCTCTCTCCTTGTGCAGGATGACTGGTCTTGTCTCCGTCCCCTCAGGTAATAAAGACCGCTCACTGCTGCTCTCTCTCCTTGTGCAGGGTGACTGGTCTTGTCTCGGCCCATTCCTGTAATTAAGACCAATCACTGCTGCTCTCTCTCCTTGTCCACGGTGACTGGTCTTGTGTCCACCCCCCTCCTGTAATAAAGACCGGTCACTGCTGCTCTCTCTCCTTGTGCAGGGTGACTGGTCTTGTCTCTGCCCCCTCCTGTAATAAAGACCGGTCACTGCTCTCTCTCCTTGTGCAGGGTGACTGGTCTTGTCTCCGCCCATTCCTGTTATAAAGACCGATCACTGCTGCTCTCTCTCCTTGTGCAGCATGACTGGTCTTGTCTCGGCCCCCCTCCTGCTGATTGGAGCACTAGGAAGGGGGCGTGTCCAGATGCTGAAAGCCCAGACTGCTGTGCTCTGAGTTGAGCAGAGGTCCGACTCTCTGGCATGCTGATAGCACAGCAACACAGCAAAATGAAATGGAAAAAAAAGCCCCCCCCTCCCCCCCATCCGGTCATTACTGACTGCATTACAGTAATCATTGACAAAGCTTCAATCGGGGTTAAATGTCCATAATCTGGTCACGGGTGCACCTTGAAGCACATTCTCATTCTGTAAAACACATTTTTGGATATTCATGAACGGGCCCTATAGACTCTACAGTGTCGGTGGGACAGACGAGAGCTCCATTCCCCACTTCATATTTGTATATTTGGGATAACCCCCTTAGCACAAGTCACTAATGACCATGTCCTAGCAGACAGGCAGAGGATCTCTGTGTATTTTGGGATTAGTGTTATGCGCCCAGGATGAAAGTGTCAAAAAGACTAATGTATGGAAGGTCGCCCCAGGCCTGACCCCCCCATGTTGCAGCCCTCTGGTGTCACTCACACTGTCCTATATATCATTAGTCTTACAAGAGGTGACAGCTCTTATACAGGAGATTCCTGGCCGGTGTGGGACTCCTCTAATTATAGGACAGACACCCCCCCATCCTGACCCATCCGCTGCCATAACATGGACTGACAGTGATGACTGTGAGATGATGGGCCTTTTATGTGCGGTTATGTTTGATACTCGGCCAATTGAATCATGTGGAGAGCTAATATTAATATACGGGATTAAAACAATAATGCAAAGAGACAAGCGTGCTAATTTCCTGCAGGCGGGAGTGAGAAGCTTCTATGGCGAGCAGGTTGGTGATACCAATCCGGCACGGGTCAATTATAGACATTATAGACACCTATAGGTCTATCAATCAAGGTTCATTGGAGGGACTGAAGGGTATTGCACAGTCCTATTGTAACGTGTGTCACCTGATCATGATGAGATCATTTACAGGGGATTTTGAGTGTTTTTGTGCATTTTTGTCTATTTTTCCGAGGTATTCAAGGTTGAGCATTTTTGTTTTAGCCAATGGAAAGCTAGATACTAGGAGGAGAAGATCGTCGTTTTTCCACGTATATAAATGGCGCGGTCCTGAAGTGGTGATACCAAAATCACAGCTGCTGCTGTAAGGTTTTTTTCACCCGGCTTTCACGTGCAAGTGATCTGCCCGATCACTTGCACGTGAAAGCCAGGTGAAAAAAACTGTAGAGCCACCCAATCACACGAATGCTGCTAAAAAAAGTGTTCGCCCACTTCCCCCTCCGCTGCCAGCTGTCCTGGGCTTCACTGTCCCCCCGTGCATGTGCATGGTGATACCAAAATCACAGCTGCTGCTCTATCGTTTTTTCACCCGGTTTTCACGTGCAAGTGATCGGGCGGCTGTAGAGCCACCCAATCACACGAATGCTGCTAAAGAAAGTGTTCGCCCACTTCCCCTCCGCTGCTGGCTGTCCTAGGCTCCACTGTCCTCCATGCAGGTGCATGATGGGTGTATGAGGCTTGTTCAGCGGGAGATCAGCACACTTTCAGTGTCTTATCTGATCTCCCCTCTGCTTATTAAACCCGAATTCGACATTGATGTCATTACTTCCAGTATTAAGTTGTCATTTCTCCAGCTGCTGTGGCTAGAGAAGAAGTCGGTGAAGCACAATCTGTGCTTCATAAGCTTCTGTGGGGTTCACAGGTGACGTTAGGGGTCTACAAGAGCCCTGGTGTCACTCTGAAAAGGACCTGTCACTTCTTCTGTGCAGTGCTTGTTAGCCCCCTATGTGGTTAGGGGTCTACAAGAGCCCTGGTGTCACTCTGAAGAGGACCTGTCACTTCTTCTGTGCAGTGCTTGTTAGCCCCCTATGTGGTTAGGGGTCTACAAGAGCCCTGGTGTCACTCTGAAGAGGACCTGTCACTTCTTCTGTGCAGTGCTTGTTAGCCCCCTATGTGATAGCAATAGAGGTGCACAAAAAAAATAATAAAGTGATATATAGAAGTTAAAAAAAACACATTTTTTTTCTAAAGTTCCCCCCTACCCCTACATACATGCACATACAAATGCAAATACAACTTGGGTGCTCCTTCGTGTCATAACTCTTGTGCCACATGTTACACATTGCCATGAAAGAATGAGAGCAGCAAAGGCTTTCAAAGCATCACCTTTTATGGACAATTCTGTCATTTTTGCCACTTCACGGGCCCGCGCAAGTTTAAGACTTAACATGTTTGGTATCTACACAACCTCATCTTTTATAATTTACCCCAAAAATTGGGTATTATACTCTAGGACACAGTGGGAGTCCTCAAGTCAAGCATGTCCAGCGGTTTAGAAAAGTGCCTCCAGTGGCTCAGATGTGGCTCAGGGCTTAGGCTGGAGAAATGCTAATTTTCAGGTGCTGCCATTGAAGTCTACGGGGCCAAAAATTACCCGTTCTGCTTAAAAATAACACATGTACCTTACTGAGTGTCGGGCATCGAGCTACAGGTGCTTGTGTGTCAACAGGGACAAAATTACAAATTCTTTGGCAAGTGAAACAGCCCCGATGTATGTATTACGCTGTTAGTCTGGAGTTCGGGTTTAAGTAAGTTGCCTTCTTGTCCTGATATTTTGGGGAATAAAAGGATTCTAATTGATGCTGATAACGTTTCTCCACTTTCTGTCTTCCCCAATGCAGCTCTATCCCTACAGACACCATGGCAGAGACAAAAGTGCAGGCTGAAAAATCGACCAGTGCAGAAAAACCTAAAGTGGCCCCGGGAGCCACAAGCAGCTACTACACCGACTCCCTGGGGTTCATGGCCATGGACAGCAACGTCCCTGGATTGTCCAACGTCATCCTGCAGAAGCTGAACATGCGGAGCTTCGAGGAGTACAGGTGACTAGAGCTGCTCCATAAGATAATATTCCACATCTAGCTTTTGAAGGATCAGATAAAGCTTCTTCTTCTTCTTCTAAAAAATTACCCTTTTTTAAAAATATTTCCCGGTATTTGCTTAATATTGACCTTTTGTTTAACATGATCTGCAACAGCATTCTACACAAACCCAGGGGAGATAAGTTCCTTTTTTTAAAAGAACCAATTAGATTCCAGCTGCCATTTCTCTTCTACGGGTTGGAAACAAAAGGAAGTGTCTGATTGGCTGTGTTGGCCAACACTTCCACTGCTCACTTCCTTCATCATATATGTTACAAAGTGCTCAATGTAAAGTGTATTCCTTCTTTACCTTGAATGAGTATGTCATGCCTGTTCACCTCTCTCCGCTCCTCACAGGTCTGCAGTAGAAGGTAACAATCTTGCTGGAAATTTTGGCATCAAGACGTACTCGGAGATGTTTCAAAAGATGGAGGACACTTACAAATTCTGCGTGCAATGCAAGAAGCTCCCGTCCAGTATTCCCGACGCCCGTGGTATGAGGCGTTGTAAAAGGTAGAGTCCTGGTTACTGCTACATCATTTTGGGCTCAGATATGGCCATAGGTGTGCGCACAGGGTATGCCGGGTGTGCCTGGGCACACCCTAAGCGCAACACCAGAACCGCAACAGCGGGCACCATGTTTTTAGTCACTGAGCCGGTGGAGAGATTAGGCTCAGTTTACTCTGTGACCGGCTCAGTGATACAGAGCACAGCAGCACTTGCTACTTACATTCCTCAACTAACAGCTGCAGTCCTCAGTGCCTGGGAAGCTGCAAGGGAGCATGGCTGTGGCTTCCTATCCAATCAGGAAACCAGGCGGTGGTCACATGACCACCTGCCAGGCTCCCTGCTTCATTACTGCACTCCTGCTGAAAGAGGTAAGGGACAGCTGAAGAGATGGGAATCCTGGATGCCTCAGGTCTGTGTATGTATGTATGTAATATATATATGTATATATATATATATATATATGTGTGTGTTTGTACTTTTGTGTGCACACCCTAATGCAATAGGCTGTGCACGCCTATGGATATGGCCGAACACAAGACTTTGTCCGTGTTCTACAGACTTTAGATAGCAGTAGAGTTGTCTATCAAAAACCAACCACCCAGGAGTGGTGCTGATAAAACCCAGTGAGGCTTCAAAACTAAATTATGCATCTCTAGTTGTTTTTGTCTCCTGGACAAATATAATCAACACCCCATGCCTTCAGGAGGTCACCCCATCCAGAGTATCATCAGAACCCTTGGAAAACTAGAACTCTGGTGCTCAGGGCATGAATGACTTATTGTTAGGCCCCAGCATTGACCCAAGGAGGTGTAAATATTTAAAAAAAGTTGAAGGAGGAAGCAGGGTATTGTTTGGGCTAAACTTCCTGTTTCTCTTCTTGAGGACAAACTCAAATGAAACAGTGGGCTAAGCTTGAGTTGATGGACCACTTGATGTCTACCAATATCCAAACCTACCTCATTCCAGAAAAAAAGGTCATAGTAATTTGATACTGAACATCATATTTACAATTGCAACTACGTTTTATCCCAGGGAAAGGTCCTTTAAACCTTCGCAGAAGTGTCTGTGAAGGTTCTCATTTATCCAGGTCATGGTATGGTTAGTAGTAGCTAGTCACATGGGGGGGGTTTATTAAAATCTGGAGTAGATTTGCACTGCAACCAATCAGCTTCTCTGTCTCATTTTCAAATCTTACCCGAGCAAACTGAAGAGAGATGTTGACTGGTCGCCATGGGCAACTGCTCCAGATTTTGTCTGCTCCAGTCTTGATAAATTCCCCTCATAATGTCTTCATCATGAGGGGAAGTTCCACTGTAAGTGACGAATTATTGATAGCTGTTTCCTGAAATATTGACGTCAAGAAGTGTAACCACTGGAGAACAACCAGGGGGCATCATTCAGTTTTAAATTCTTGAACCACTGAAGGCCACAATTTAGGATCAATATGGAGCTTGCAGTCCAAAAGCACTGCTTACCACAAAATTTTGGCTGAATTCCCTTTTTAAGCCCAAATCTGTCGTACTGCAGATAAGCATTTTGAAAAAAGGTCTCAGTTTTAGGTGTTAGATATTGGTTCCTTCACATAGGGAGCACTTCATGGGCTTCTACAGCCAATGAAGGTCCAAGGCCTCTGGTACTGAGTTCTCTTGATGTCAAAACCTTGGGATACCTAAAAGGTTGTGAAGTTTGGAAATGTCTGCCTTGGTTTTGACGTTGCATGCTTCGAGGGGAACTTTACCCACCAAGTTATTGTCTCCAAAAAAACAATTACTTTTAAGGCATGCCAACTGTCAATGTGCTTATTTCAGCTATCAACCAGAACTTCCCTCAAACAGCTGGAACTAGAGATGGAAAAAACTAAATGTACGTTAATGTTTCAGGATTGCATGTGCAGCACCATGGCAACTGTAACTGTCCAAATAGAGGCAAAGATGGCACCTTCCTTGGCTGTAAGGGATGGGAGGTTATAGTTCTGGTTTTGGGATTGTGTCCTGACTTAATGTCAATACCTAGTGAGCTAATATGACCTAGAACAAGCATGCAACCCCCTGAAGTCTAAACCCAATGCAGTTCCGAAACTTTTTTCATTACAGGTTCAATTTAAATAAAAGAAAAGCAGGATGCTCCTAAAAATGTATTCTCAAATGTCAGCAGCTATATGTCTGTGCTTACTTGCAGGTGTCAGAACATTTACTATTGCAGCTCGGAGTGTCAGAGGGAGAACTGGCCTGTGCACAAGAAGTTCTGCAGGAAACTGAAACTGGCTGCCATTGATAGGCTGCTCGAGTGGCTGATCTTCACAGGTAGGTGTGAGCTCAGTCCTGATCAGGGACGCTGTCTTTATGAAACAAGATGTCAGAGTGGTAAAAGAGATCAGAAATGGAAGCCGGGCTGCGGACAAGGAGGGGAATGACTACATGGGCAATTTTCAAAGAGACATGGAACTCCATGCACACAGCTAAATATAACATTGAACTTAGGGATGTCCTGATATTATTTTTTGAGACCAAGTACAAGTACTTTCCCCCAGGTACTTGCCGATACCAATTACTGATACTTATTTTTAAAGGGACATGTGACCTTTTTTTGTAAAACAATACAGACAAATAACTTTAGGGCAGTTTCTCACAAAGCTGCGTTTGCGTCCCACCAGGGCAGAGTACAAATGTCACCAGGCTGCGAATGCGTCTCACCAGGGCAGGGTACAGATCAGGGGCGTAACTAGAAATCACAGGGCCCCATAGCAAAATTTTGTACGGGGCCCCGTGATTTCTAGTTATACCCCTTGCAGAGCCCACTCGAGATCCCTCCTGAGGGTGACCCTGCAGGTGGGCTGGTCGCACTCCTTACCTGTCCGCATCCTCTTCCTCCACGGTCGCTGATAGGCCCCGCCTCCTCCTCCGTCGCCGGGCCCACCTCCTTCTTCGTCACCGTGCCCCAACTCCTCCCTTGCTGCCGACCACGAGCCCTGCCTCCTCCTCCACTGCCGCTGCTGGCTCTCATTGACTCTGTGGAGAGGAACGCGCTGCTGCGCAGAATACTGTCAGTGATCTGAACAGCGGCGTGTTCGTCTTCAGCCGCCAGTGAAAACCACCACCAGAGCATCCCATAGTGACCCAGACGGCCTGCACAGCATCTGGCCGGGCCCCACTGTGCCCCGGGCCCCATAGCGGCCGCCTGGGTCGTTATGGTGATTGTTACGCCACTGGTACAGATGTCACCAGGCTGTGTTTGCTATTCACCAGGGCAGAGTACAGAACTCACCAGGGCTGCGTTTGCGTCTCACCAGGGAAGGGTACATATGTCACCAGGCTGCATGTGGGGCTCTGTAGGCGGGCATCGGGCTGAGCGATCAGGTGCCAGTCCTCTGCCGGCTCTGGGGCTGTTTATTTGGTGAGGGGTTGTCCTTGCCTGTGCCACTGCCGGAAAGAGGAGAAGGAGATATGAGTCCAGACAGGCACTGCCAAGGACATCTGCCGCCAGTTCCCCACAAGCGCGGAACCTTGGCAGTCAATCCGTTTTAAAAATTTTAAGGGCAGGTATCGGCCTGAAGCATGGGGGCATTCTCAGGAGTACAAGTACTCCTGAAAATACCCAGTATCGGTCCCGATACCAAAACTAGTATCTGTACTGGGACATCCCTAATTGAAATATATATATGGCCAGTCCTGAGATTTACACAGCTCAGCCAGACATCACAACCATTTAGTGACCTCACTTTTGCTTGCTGTAGGTTAAGAATAAAGATTGGTCACCGCTGCAGGAGAATACGTAAGCCACAATACTCACCAATATATAGGTTTTGCTGGAGCTGGCCTTTATGAAATGTCTTTTATACTGGTTGAAAAATTAAAAACTGCAAATAGGATAAAAATAAAACAGTTTGGCCTTTTTTCTTTGATGTTGTCATGGTCACCAACCCAAGTTAATTGCTCGAACATTTTCCTGCAGAAATATTAAGCAGTTGAGCAAATATATTATTTTAGAGTTTGCTTGTGCCGATGACACAAGTAGATAACCATAAAAAAGCCAGGCTTTGCCTTTTGTTGCCATCTTTGGGGTAGGGTAAACCTCCCTTCAGGGGGCGCAAGACAGAGGTGACAAACCATGGGGGAGGGGGTCTAAACCCTGTTTGCTCATGAACAATTCTTGGAGCATACTGTTTTTTTTTTCTTGCAGGAGATATTCCTTTCGCCACCTGTCCTTGGACAATGTCCATTTCCAATGTGAAGACCTGGGATGACTGGTTCTCCATGCAGGAAAACCTTGAGGAGAAGATAGCAAACATCATGGCGGGACGTTACATGGGCATCCTCTGGTCCAACTGCGGAAAGCCAAAACCCGAGAACCCCGAACTGCGAGAGTCCATCAAACGTTTGACGACCGACTATTTCACAAGGCCAATGACCATTGGTTTTGGTATGAACGCTTTCCGCATCGATCCCTACTCCGTTCCCATCACTGTACATGTGGTTGGCGCCTCTCACATTGAGACTTTGAACATCCGTCCGACGGACTACGACGAGCTTGCCAAGATGTTTCCGGGGAACCAGGGTCTGGAGGTGCTTATGGTTGGCCCGGAAGTGGTCAGTGGCCCGGTGATGAGACCACCACTGACAGCTTTTGGCCCGTCCGGGAAAGTCTACCTGAGCGGTTACAAAGCTCTATACCATATCTTCTGGGAGGCGATGGTGGAGAACCAACGGGCAGCGAGGCCTGATCTCGTGGTGGGCTTCCATCCAGGTATTCCTCCCACATTGCTTTCTCTATACATCTCTGCATCGTGATACTCGATCCGCCACCAATCAGTATTAGAGGAATCCGGAATTCTCAGAAGAGAACTCAGTTGAAATGCAATCCATAGCTTCTGTAGCCGTAAAACTTTCTGTCAGAGCAGGTGACAAGGCGGCATTCCGGAGAGCTATGAATTTAACTGCTAACAAAGGAGTAGGGTCTATTTATAGACTGAGTATAAGGAAATTAAAGGGAAGCTATCATGGCTTCATGGCTGAGGGGGGGTGTTTATTTTTGTTTGTTTTTTAGGTTTAGGTTTAGGTTTTAGGTTAGTTTTAGGTTTGTCGTATTATATGTATCGGTTGAGACACATAGAATATCATGAGGACATATCTCATGATATGAGGTCCATGAGATCCAGAGATATTGTCAGCTATACAGTATGTGACACCAAAGAAACCCTTGACCACCTGCCCCCAAAAAAGGAAAAGATTCCAAATTCAGCCCCCCGCTTCAATGACGGCCCAGCCTGCACGGCATCAGAGGTGCCCGGGGACCAGCGGTTGGCGACCGCTGTTCTAGAGCTTTCCTTTACAGTGGACCTTCCCCTTTACTGTAAAGTC